TTTGAAGGCACAGCCTCTTTGAAGAAAATTTTGCCAATAGCATAAGTAGAAGTTAGGTATAAATTATGAAGCTGTAGTTGTACATCAAGGTATCTCCCCAGAAAAACTTTTCTTTACAAATGCCCACAAAGCCATGTATAAATAATATTCATTGAAACATTGTTTATTACAGCAAATTTTAAAGGAAAAAAACAAAAATATTTATCAGTGGTTGAAAAGATAGACACTGGTTTATTCATAAGCTGTAATGCTCTACAGCAGTTAAAATGAGTGAATTGCAGCTAGGTGTGTCAACATGGATACATCCCCCAAAGTGAATGCTGGGGAAAAGAGGCAAGCTGCAGAACATATATCCTGTATGGTAAGATTTATGTAAATGTGGAAACACTCAAAAAGATTGTATGTTGTTTATCAACACAAATACTTAAATGTAGCAGTGGGCATGTGATTGGCATCTCATTGTGTTTTTCTGTGTGGCGGAAATAATTCATAAAAAAGACAGAAAGGAAGGAGAGGGCATGGCGGAGTGGAATATACCCGCCTGGAGGTGGATAAACAAGCCAAGGCACAGAAGCCGGAAGCCCTGTGGCTCTGCACCCTTCACCTGTTGTCTTTCAGGTTAGCTGTGTGTTCCGAGTCATTCCAAAGGGTGGTTGGCATAGTGCCAGGCCTGTGGGCGGGGCTCAGTGCACATGCAGGGTGTTTCCAGCTTTCTGGACATTTTGGCATTGAGAGCCTGCTGTCAAGGGTTAGGAGGCTTGCTTTAAAACAGGAGAAACAAGCATATTTTCTGAGAGGGACTGCACCAGCCGATGTCTGGGGTCTGAAGGCAGAGACAGTCTGCTTTCCTGTAGGAGTGAGTTCTGCAGGCCTCTGAGTTGAGGCCTCTCTGCCTGCTGCCCCGTCACAGCTCAGGCCAAGGGGACACGCAGAGCTCTCCAGTCTGCGTGGTGTGCAGTGTCCTCGCTGGAAAGGATGGAGTCCGGGGCACGTTTGTTCCCACAGGCCCCCTGGCTCCTTGAGGTGTCTTCAGTGAGGCAGACGTGTCCGTCAGCCTGAATGGGAAACTGCCCAAGGTGTGAGGAAAGCTGAGATGCAGAGTATCCTTTTTGGGAAGTCCCTACTCTCAGCAGCCACTTTGAATCTGTTGTGCAGCTTGAAGAAAGAGAGACCATGCCTGGTGCTGAGCACACTCCCTTCAATGAGGGCTATTTGGCTTCTGCTGGAAGTTGGTTCTGACATCAGTCATGCCGGGGGCCCTGAGAATCTAGCTCTTTTAAGTCAGATGTTTGCTACATATAGTATGAGGAAAAGTTGCTAGTTGGTAAACAGCTTAACACTGTGGTGGAGGGATAATAAGATTTAAGGCCCAGGAGGGGCCTTATGATTATATGAGTTAAATCTCTTGTGTTGATGGTGGAATGGGGCTTGACAGAGGTTCTCTTCTTGACCAAACTTTAGTCAGGATCCTCTGAGCTCCTTTTCAGGTAGTAGCTAGGCCTTCTTTTGGGGTATGTTCTAAGAGCCTAATTTTAGCAAGGATTCTGCTAAGTCAGTTTAACCAGAATCTCCCTCCCTCAATATCTCATCATTCTCAATATCTGACCAAATTTGTCATTTGATCATACCTCAGGTGCCATGTGATCACCCTTAATCTGCCTTCACTAAGAATCCTGTCAGGTCAGTTTAGCCAAGAATTACTGTATTCTCTCAGTGCTGTTCATCCATTGACCCCCCACCCTTCTCTATATATTCCTGCTTTCCTGGTTGTATTCAGAGTTCAGCTCCATCTCTCTCCCCTACTGCAAAACCCCATTGCAGTAATCCCTATACCTATTGTAATAGTCCTGAATGAAGTCTGCCTCACCACCTTAAAAAGCATCAGAATAATTTTTTAACAGGCTTTGAGGATTGACTTGCCCAGGGAACATTTTGCATACATGTCAGAATCACTTCTAGAGTCTAGATTTTCAAACTCCAAGTTCAGTGTTCTTTCCTCATACCATGCATCTTTCATGCCTTCAAGTGTATGGAACCAAGAAGTAATTCATGCTATAAAATGTTCTATTCGGATTAACGGAAGTATGCAACTGACAGCCTCTAGAGATTATGGCCTGTCTCCTTGCTTACTCTGGGTAGAAGAGCAGTTTGCGTGATTGGTCATTAACCTTAATGCTAGTGTGTGTGAACTATAGATCCTTCCCTGGCAGCAGATGCTGCTAGACCTTACTGGTCTGTGCCAGTGATGTCAGCAACCAAAGTGCTTGTTGTGTTTTCTAGGTATGGCTGTGTGTTGAGTTGCCACCAGACGTTAGCAGTTTGTTGAGAACTTGTGAGTAGGTTTGGACAAGCCCATTCATTCATTCTTGCAAATAAAGACAGAGCAACACCCAAAAAGAACAGTACACAAAACAATACACTTCAGCTCTTGCTTTGTACCAGGCATATTGCAAAGCATTGGGGCTGTTGTAAGAAACAGCTCTTGCCCTTAAGGGGTTATAGTCAAGGAAGAGTTCCTAGAATAAAAATAGTGACCAAAACTTAAATGCTAATTTAGAAATATGTGCAAGGCAGAATGAGAACTCCAAGGGAATTGTGATTAATTTCCCATTGTGCAAATTGGAAGGAGGGTGATCCTGGAGTTGGGTGTTGAATGTTAGGGAGAAATTTACCAAGTAGAAGAAGCAGAGCAGGGGTAGTTCAGGCAAAGGGAATGAGGTGTGCAGAGATGGAGGGTAATGAAAAGGCAAGACCTTGAGGAAACTTCAGTGAGGCTGGAGAGAGAGAAGAACATGGCTGGAAATGAGTCTAGTAAGGGAAACTGAAACCAGATTTTGCAAGACTAAGCTTGGAATGCACAACTTCTCTGTGTACAAGCAGTGGGTAATTATTTCCTGCAAGTGAGGTGGACAGATCGGAGTGGTTGAAATGTAATCTCATGACAGCATGGAGGGTGGTAGGAGAGGGAATAGGTTGGAAAAAGAGCATCAAATTGGGGGACTATTGCAAAAATGATGGTGCATGAGCCACAGCATTGAAGTGAGATGGAAAGACTAGGGGTCCAAGTTATTTAGGAGATAGAATCATGAAGATTTGGAGACTGAGTTTGGTTTGAGAGATAAAGGGAAAGAGACAGATTGAGAGTGATTCTCAGTGCCCCAGGTAGACAGGAGAGAGAAGATAAGAAGTCAATTTCGAGGGGACACTGATTATAATAGTTAACATAGCCCATGGCCATGTGGAGCCAGTAGTCTAGGGAAGGATTTGAAACAGTGATGTTTGTTTATTCTGTAAACTTGCTGAGTGGCGCGATGTGCATGGCCAAGTCTGCATTTTGAGGAAAGGAGAAGTGAACAGCCTTTTTATTTTTATATGCTTTTTAAACATTTTATTATATCTTTATCCTGGTAGGAGATTTCCTGTGTGCTATATTTTTGCATCCTTACAAGTAAGTGTCTTGTAAGATTAAATTATCCCCATTTTTCAGATAAGAAACCTGAGGCCAGCAAGCTAAAGCAACTTGCACATGGTCGTGTAACCAAAGAACTGCAGGTCTAGGAGTGAAGTAGAGATTTTTCTATATCCAGAGTCCATGATCTTTCCTCTCACTACAGTGTCCTCTGAGGTTTCTTGTCCTTGAGGAGCATAAATTGTGAGAAACGAATCAAAACAATATCAGAGTCAAAAAGAAGCATGTACAGTGTGCCTGGGGATACCATGGATGGGGAAATTTGTTCTGGTGTAGAGGGGAAATTGGGAGTCCATCTGTGAAGCCCTCACAGAGGAGCGGGTGGGTATTTAAGCTGGGTTTCGGGACATGAGATTTACCAGGTTGGTTGCGCATGGGGACAATTCTTAAAGGTTATCACACATTGTAGCTCAGAGGCTTATAAAGCTGAATTGTGGGTCAGGCAGGAGCACATTAGTGTTAGAGGGGAGGGAAAAGTCCAGGAAAAGGCAGGAGCAGGTAGTTATGAGGGAAGGTGTACTGCTAGAGTCAGGGCCTGAGTTTTGAGGCAGAGTCCAGGCACCCGTGAAGTCGGTTGACCATAGAGAGAATAAATGACCTCTGTGACATTCTAAGAGAGGGAAAGTTTTGTTAATCTACCCAAGAAAGGTGATGATGGAAAGAGGGGGTGAGACCCTGCTCATACTGCTGGCTGGAAAGAGAGGGGAAACGTGCTGTGCTGGGTGAGGGGACGGGAGGCAATGTGGGAAGTGTGGCAGGGGCTCCTGATGTCTCGCTGTCTGGTACCTGCTCTCCTCCCCGACCATGGAAAGGTGAGACAATAAGGAAGGAGCATGTGGGTGGCCTGCCATTCTTCCGAGAGTCCTGACTTGTGGGTTTGATATAAGGTCAGAGACTTGGAAATCAGGCCCAAAGTACAAGCAGGTTGTCAGCAGGATAACTAGAATGATGAACTGCTGGCAACAGTTCAAGGTCATTGGCCTTCCACCTGGACACACCATCGCTCCTCTGTAAAACATCAAACCCTCTGCCTGGTTCAGCCTGATTTGGCCATCGGACCCACAGTCTCTTAAGTATGGCGCTTCCTGCCCCTCTGAGGGCCCCCTAGCCTCAGGCTCAGTGGAGGGGGCGTGAGGGTGATTGCACCTCATGACCTTGGGGGACAGTCTGGCCACTGGCAGAGCTCCCTGTTGGGGAACCTTTGCCCCTCCCAGCACCATGCAGAGCATCCAAGGCCTGAGCTCAGGAGGGGTGGTCTCCCCAGCAGCCCCCCTGCACAGTTTCACAGAGGCAGGAAAAGTAGGTCTCTGAGAAAGGCCGGGAGCCGAGGGAGCACGCTCAGGTGGTGCGCAGATGCATTAGGCTAATTGCTCTCCTAAAATGAATGGGGCCCCTTATCTCTGAGAAACACTTTTAAGCACTCTTGTGATTTGGGAACAAAGGTGCAGGTTGGGGGAGAGCCTGACCCCCTTCAAACACAATTCCCCATTTGGTAAAACAGTCTTTCCCTTTCTTTCTCTCTTACCTGCAGATCAACGGATTACGGCACCACCTATGAAAAGCTGAATGACAAAGTAGGTCTTAAGACTGTCCTCAGTTACCTCTACGTCAACCCCACCAATAAAAGGAAGGTAAGAGAGGGTCCATGGGTCCTGAGCACCCTCTGTGGGGTAACAGGGCTGCCCAGGCCAGTACTTAAGGAAAAATCCAATAATCATGGATTCACTCACAGAATGCCGGGAACACCACATGCTGTAATTCTAACAACTGCCTTGATAATTGTAGCACCAATAATAAAGTAATAATATAAGAACAAGAGCAGCAGGAGTAAAACAGTAAAACTCTAACTCTGTAGGGGCTCCTTAGGGCCAAGGATGGATGCCTTGTCTCACTTGTCCTTAGAGTGAACCTATGGGGCAGAAATCATTATTGTTCCCATTTCACAGATGAAGAAACTGAAGCTCAGAGAGATTAGTTAACTTTCTAGCCCACAGCCAGACCATGGTAAGTGACAGCGGTCATTTTCTGAAACTTGAGAGTGGATATGTGACTCCAAAGTGGAGTCACACAGCCACCCTTTCGCTGGTCTGTTTTCAGAGAGCTCCGTATAAACAGCTCCTTCTGCCAAAGGAGCAATAGGCAGTTCTTGGATTCACCAACTGGGCTAGAGCTACTTCTGAAACACAGGGGGCAGACCTGGCTTCGTTGCCTGTCTGTGTCCTCACTTCCCAATTGATTTAACAGCCAGGACAGGGAAGAAATCATGTTAAGGGCAGAAACCTTGGTCATGGCAGGAAGGGGACTGGATTCTGTGGGATGACAGGTGGTTTTAGCAAAAACGTCCTGTATACTATATTGACTTTGGGGAGAAGTGATCTTTCCCCAGCTTGAAGGCACTCCTGTTTAAAATTTAGGCAGGCCTGGCCCCTATAATCACACCAGGGATATAAAAGGACATTTCCATGTTTCTGAAAATGGCACTCCCAAGCTCTCCTCTGGCAATCTGATTGATTTCTATTCCCCAGTGGTTTTGCAAACCCTTCCTTCAGTGAAAATAAGCTCAGGGTGAGTTGCAGCCCATTATCCAGATGTCCCTGATCTCTGATTCCAGTCTGGTGGCATCCAGGCTGGGGCTTAGAATGATGACAGCTTGTGCTGCTAAGATCAGAGCAGCTCTGATGCAAAGCCACTGCATCGTAACTCACAGCCCCACCTCTTTTCCTCACTCCCACCTTTGATGTCCCTAAGAGTCCCCAGCAAAGGGAGGAAGCAGAACTGGTGGCTCCTGGTTCAGCACTGGGCAGATGCCCACAGCTGCAGCCAGCTCCGGGGATCCCCAGCCCTGAGACTGTGTCCCCAGCCAAGCGCCCAAACCCCCGTCATCAGGATGGCTGTTGAGGCTCCTGTTACTGGGTTCAGTGAGTGGTTTCTCTTTTCTTTGCCTCTGAGTGTTGTCATTTTCACATCTTTCAGTATTGTCACTTGAATTATTGAATTTTAAAGCTGGAAGACATCATAGATTTCATCTATAGAAGCAGTCACTAACTTTTTGACTTCAACTTTTAACTTCAACTTTTAACTTCAACTCCTGCAAAAGGGATTAAAATTCTAGACCTCCTCCCTAGAAATGTGCCATGAGCAGAAGATTTGAAAACAGGTTTGAGGGGTTGGCGAACAGCTTGAATCCCACCCATGGACCGAAGATGTCCATGGAGTCTTGGTTAAAAATCCTTCATCTGTACCAACAACCTCATTTTACAGATGAGAAACAGAAGCCAAGAAATACCCGCATAGCCAGGTGAAAAAAAGAACCAGGTCAGAGGCTGGGACTCTGCATTCTCAGTCCAGATTTCCTGGCTTCAGACCACTCTTTGCCACCTTTTCTCCTGTACAACCAAAGGCTCACATTTCAAAATGGACAGGCTACTCCTGACTGGGAAGCCTGAGGCACTGCTCCTTGGCCTTGAATTAAAGCTTGGTGCCATGCCTACGATGGGCACTTGGTAAAACTTGACTGGAATGAGTCAACGATTGTGTTTCTCATTCTTTAGTAAGGAAGCTGAGCCCACAGAGGACAAACGCCCTGCTCATGTCACGCAGCTGCCTCGTGGAAGCGTTGGCAGGTGGTCTCATGACTGGCAGTTCAAAGCTCCTCCATCCCATACAAGGGATGTGGGGTGAGATGGACTCCCTGGGCGGGTCTACACCCTGGGAGAAGCAGAACTGGGTTTTTGACACATGGCAGATGCTCATTAGTGTTGATCTCTGACTTCCTTCCAGACTGCAGAAGAATTAAATTATGTTTTCATTTAAATGATAGATCATCTTTGTGAAGACATTCTCAAACAGTATGTTTGCATCCATTGGGGTGGTCATCCGTCATTTGTTTCCTGTTGGACTGCTACCCAAAATGATGTCTTTTTTGGTCTTTTACAGCTTTTCTCTATTTCTGACTGTTTTTATCTCTTGTTGGCACAACCTAGAGGTGCTTAGAAGTGCGGGAGACAGAGGGTGGGTTAAGGCAGATGCTCAGAACTGAAAGGAGCATAAAGCTGGGATTCGGAGACCACTGGTGCAGAAATGCCTCTTCCATTTCTTCTTCCTAGAGGTGACGTCTAGACCAAGGGCTTTCCAGAGTCATTTTTCACAGGAATTAAGGCCCAGTAAACAAAAGTTGGGCCAATTTTGCCTGTCTTCTCTGAGAGATGCCACTAAAGCACGGTTCTCTCCCACCTAAGGGGCACTGCTACCCAGAAAGTTAAAAGCATAGACAGTTTTTTCACAGTTTGGGGAAAGACAAAGGACAGGTTAATGCCATGGATTGATTGATTTATTTTTAACTAGCAATAGAAATTAATTCATAAGGAGACTGTTTGATCCTGAAATGCTCTCTGAATCATGCTAGGAAAGATGAAATTAGATTCTGTTTTATTTTGTTGTTCAGTGTTTTTTTATTGTAGTCTGAGCCTCTAGATGCTCACAACTCACAGACATTCTACGTGGTGACTTTCTCTTAATGTGAAGATTCAGTTTATTAGAACTACCCTTCTCTAGCCACTTGGGCAAAATGCCAGTTACGTATAAATGAAAATATTCTTGTTTCTTTACTGGTCTAGTATTCTTATTATTATAACCTCATAATGCAACACTTTTCTGTTTGTTTCCTTCTTAAGTAAGTCTTGAAGTTTAAACCTGTAGGCATCTGGATTTTCAGCTGAGCTTGCATTACAAAATATTCTTTTGATTGTTTCAGCATCCAGATTATCTGTAGCTCCCCATGTTCATTGAGAGCTAATGAAAAATCCAGCAGATTTTTCAGTTAATCTTGTGGAAACACTCGCTTTTCACCTAATGAGTTATTTATTTAAGAGATGGTCACTGCTTTCTTTGGAGGCTGGGAGAACATCAGAGATGTCTTGCCTCTGGCAAAAAAGTAAATTGTACTTGTATTTATATAGTTGTTCCCAAAGGTTATTGTTGATTTTCTAATAGTTTTATGACAACATAAAATCTCCTGATGCAGATAACTAACAAGCCATTAAGTTGAAAGTAGAATTGTTAACATGTGTATAGTCTCCTCTTAACAGTAATACTTTTAGTTAGCATTAATTGAGCACCCACTGTATACTGAGCTTCCTTTTAGGAGCTTAATCTATATAATCTCCAACCCTCCCCATTACTTTAGAAATCAGGTAAGATAAGGCAATAGATGCTGTGTCAATTATCCCCAGGCTGTATTGCTTGTAAATGGTAGGTCTGCAGCAGCCTTCCTGTTGGTTTTATTTGGGAGACAGTTCATTCAGGAAACATCTATTAAGGAAGTTGAGATTTGGACTGATAGTATTTACTAGTCTTTCTGTAAATGAGAGCTTTGATATGAAATGCTGGGAGCTACTCTAGTTGCAGTTGTTCTAACCCATCTATGGCATGGTGGCATCAGCATTATTTTGCTGACCTTTACCTGCCCCAGCTTATTTGATGTGAATTCGGTATCCCTTGCTGTTTCCCTTTCTCTGGTCTCTGAGCTAGCTCATTGCCTGGGTAATGTCTGAGTCTGGCACTTTGAATGTAAAGAGCGGTATGTTAGTTCTAGAAGCAGGTGTGTGGGGCTTGCCTGCCAGACAAGGGCTCACTGTGGGGTGTGAGCCCCAGCTCACAGCTTCTTCTTCCCCTGCAGGAGGTAAACATCCCTGGGTTCCTGTAACTCATACTGTCAGCTGACTCTGTCCTCAGGCACATGCGGAGTGGATGTGCCAAGGTCAAATCTGCGCTGAGTAGAGCTGCACTTAGTTCAGTACCAACAGGCTGAAGGCCTTGTGCCTCAACAAGAGAGGGGCTTGGTGCCAGTGGGTCTATTTGAGAACAAATCTTTGGTTAGGGAAATGCAGTCATATTATGGCCTTGTTGCTCTGGCTCAAAAGTGGATGGTATTGCAGATTTGGAAACTGTTTGGAAATGGCAGAGAGCATAGAAAAGTCTGATTGCCAGGGAATGTGACCAGATTGCTGCAAGGTAGAGGCATGTGTGTGCGGAGGGGTGTGTGTGCGTGTGTGCATGTGCCCCCAGTGGGATGCTGTAAGGTCTAACATCAGAAGAGGATAATGGCTTCTTTTTATTGGCTTCTAATAAGTTCCTGGCACTGGGCAAAGTTCATTTCTATACTTATTCTGAGTTTCACTATTAATCCCCTGAGCCTGGTAGTTCCACGCCCATTTAACAGGGGAGCAAACTGAGGCCCAGGCAGGTGAGCTACCTGTGTTTGGTAAAGCAGCTAGTAAAAAGGGGTCTAGGATGCTCATTCACTTCTGTCTGACCGCACGGGCCATGCTGTCTGCTCTCATCACTACCAGTTGGCTTCCCCTGCCACAGGCAGAAAGACCAAGTAAGTGGGGTCACCACTGTATATTGGTGATAATTTCATCAACTGGGTGTTTCTTCTCATTACTGTTAGATGATTAGCAGTTTCTTGGAGGGGGAGGGGAGTGTTAGATCTTCCTTTCCTAACTGGTTTACCAGTGAAGAGGATAATTACTTCTAGGCTACCTAGCAGAAATACAGTGGGATTTATCAGTCAGATTTCCCTGCTGAGCAAGCCGTCTGCCTGTCAGGCTGTTAAAGAGGTACTGTGTGT